GGTTCTGAGCGAACCAGTTGTCCTCAGTACACCAGATTTCTCTTGGACGGCACCAACTCTGAAGCGAAACGGGCTGCTCAAGGGCCATAGGAAAGCATTGAGGCGCCAGATTGCATGAACGACTAGTCATGCACGTATCGCAATTGAAAGGTGATCCGAGAGTGAGGTTTGAGCACTCACAGGGCCGAAGGCTGCAGGCAAAGAATAGGTTGGAGGCCATGGCTATTAGGCTAGGCTGGAGGCCATTGCTTCTAGGTCTAAATTGTGACATGGTTTTGGTCCTCTCCTCTCCGCCCGAGGACCGATCACGTCGTGCCTTTGCAGAGCTGTGGGCATTGCCCTTAGTCTGACAGACTGCTTCTCCATCGCAGGTGGAACCTGGGCCCTACTAAGAGCGAAGGGCATTGCTACTAGGAGCAAGGACGCTACTAGGGGCTCCTGGCCTTGCTACTAGGAGCAAGGACGCTGCTAGGCTCTCATCTTGTCATAAATTTTGGTTCAAAAGCCCGCTCGTACGTAATTAAGTGGGTGCCTATTTAATTAAGTAAGGGAGAAGTAAGCTTCTAGCATCTACTAGCAACTTAAGCTACTGCATACTGGACGCAGGATAGATCACGCACTGACACACTGATGATTTGGTTTCTAGATTCTTTGGAAAACTAAAGATTATTGTTGTACAAAGGTGTGAATGCTTATGAATGTGGAGCATGGCTAAGTTGTGTCACAGGCCGTGGCTGGACGATCTCCGACTGAGACTGCGCGGCGATTGGATGACCTGGCTGCTTTGCTGCAAAGCACAAAGCCGCAAGTAGATCAAGTGGAAACAGACAATAGCGGTTTCTTTCTGAGACTACACCCCTTTACACAGGAGCGCTTTTGGCAACAAGAAGGTTGCTTTTTTGTCAAGGTTTGAACTTTCGATGTAGGCTGGTCTGCAAGGGGTTGATCGAGCATGACCTTCCCTAGCTCTGTAGTTAGATGAAAATAGCATTTGAAGTATCAGGTGACAGTCAGGATGTGGCGACGAAACTACTGGAAGTGCCACAAGGGACTAGACAAGACTTTTTCCGAGCATGCCGCTGTGCAGGCAAGGTTTGAGGGAGGGCCTGAGAACTCAAGTTTGGTTGGCTTGTTGAGTACATTGTTAGCTAAGTCCAGATATTTCACTAGCTTGCGACAAGGAAAGGCGCCAAAGCTTTCAAGATATGCAAAAGAAGAGGCGCTTGGGGAACAGAATGGGCCGCAGTGAAATTGTTCGGGTGAAGTATCACGAGGAGGTCTCATTCAAACCGCATGCACACTTCCTCTTGTCATTTGCGCTGCATGTCTCCATGTCCATGCCGACTGGGCACGGGTTGTTCTTGCTGGGTGGGTGAAGAATCACGACCACACTTGTGTGGCCATTCAGACTCTACGGAAGGCTTCCTTGGTTCTGGTTAGCAAATTACGCCAGCACAGAACCCAGATAGCATTGGAATCATTGCATTCAAGCTGTCGCGGCTTTTTCACTCGCGTTTCACAATGCTCCTGAAAACATCACATGGACCAAAAGAAATAATGTACACGACACCAAAAACAAGCGTGCACAGCAGACACCCTGCTGCGGCACAAGCCACCAGCTCCTGGCCTTACTACTAGGAACAAGAAGCTACTAGGGGCTCCTGGCCTTACTACTAGGAGCAAGGTTCGCTACTAGGAACAAAGGGAGCACACTGCAGCGGCCTCCAGCCACGCCAGCACACGGGCAAAGACACCGCGCAGCAGCACCCAAGCTCCAAAGCGCACACAGGCACCTCTTCCTATACTTGAAGTAAGAGCCCCAATAGCTCTCACTACCTGGGGAATTATGATTTGCTGGGCCGCGCGGCCTCACCACTGAAAAGCCTGCTCCAGCTTAACAGATCTCAACTAAAGCTAACTTGGGTCTTCTTTCCTGGTGAAAGCAACAGTTTTTAGAAGAAAAGAAAGTAGAAATCAGTTTATAGAAATCAAAGGAAAAAACTTGTTTTGGAATGGAGACCAGAAACTCATCCAGAAACTTCGGACCAGGGCCATTCAACAACAGCGACGTGACGAGCTCAAGGACGCCGCCCAGACGTGGTCGCTACGTTTGGAGGGCAGACAATGGCAACAGGTAAACCAATTGGTAGGAGCAAAGGACGCTACTAGGAGCAAAGGTCATGGCTACTAGGAACAAGGGCCTTACTACTAGGAACACGAAGCTAGTAGAAACAATAAGTAAATAGACTTTAATTAGAATTAAGTGTAATTAAAAGCAAAGGAGGCTACTAGGACCTTTAAGAATCGAAGTGCAAGAAAGGTCATAGCCCGACAGGTAAGCATTCCTCCAGCATGTCTCGGCTTGTTCAAACCCCTTCAAAATAGCTGAGCGATAGTGGGGTGGTTGGGTGGTTGAAAAGCGGAGCTCCTTTGCCCTGACGACAATCACCAAGGGCCATTCGGCTCGCCATTCGGATGAATAGACACTGGGGACTCAAAGCAGGTGAGCCGATAGCATTGGCAAGAGACGTTTATAGACTTACCGTTTGTGAGGCAGCAAGGGACGACTGCAAAAGTGAAAGAGAAGGCGTCTAGTAGCTTCTTGTTACTAGTCCAAATGCCAGGAGCTACTAGTAGCGTACTCGTTACTAGTAGTAATGGCCTCCAACCTAATAGCGATGGCCTCCACCCTAGTAGTTTCTTGCTCCTAGTAGTAATGCCAGGAGCTACGTTCGTAGCGTCCTTGCTACTAGTAGCGATTTCCTTTGTTACTAATGGCAACGTGCCGGCAGGAGATCCGGCTGCAAAAGGAGAAGGCACGTTCTCAGCGGCAGCAGCAGCGCCTGGAGGACGCGGTAACAGCAAGAACGCAGGAAGTGAAACACTGTGAAACGCCATGTCTACATTTGATCAGACCATGCACAAGAGCAACAGTATGGACTTGTTTTGGCAGTGGCTTGATCACCAATACTAATACCATGTGTGACGGCCATACTATTGACAAACCACCCAATACATTTGGAGCACATGCAGGGCTAAACATTTCCGTGAGATGAAAATGTGGTTACTGGTAGCAGGCAGGAGACTACCGCCAAGATTGATGATGCCACCTTTCCCAGTTGATTTGTTGAAGCTCGCTACACAGCGGCATGGGTTTCAGGTGTTTCACATTTTCAACTGCCGCCGTTCTTGTCGCTTTGCACTTGGCAGTAGGACCAACAAAGAAGCTTTTCGGGTCACAAGAAAGCAACTCCGTTTGGAGGCCATCGCTAGTAGGGTGGAGGCCATCGCTAGTAGGGTGGAGGCCATCGCTAGTGAGGCCATCGCTTCTAGGTACTTCCATTTTTGGGTTTATTTCGAGCAGGACCGGGTTCATCAGCTTTTGGCGAGCCTTCGGCCCAAAGAGCGCGTTCCGTGTTGGGCTTCGGTCCGGAAGTCGAAGTCGTTGCGTCGGCGAAAAGGCTTCGGGTTTGTTCCTGTTTGAAGGACTCGGCCGCACGCCATTGTAGCTACAAGCGACGGCCTCCATCCTAATAGCAATGGCCTCCAACCCACATGTTTTGGAGGTGAAAGATTTCAACTATTGAATTGTTTGCCATGTTTTGTCCTGGGCTAGTAGCGCAAAGAATAGGCTTCAGACAATCGCGACCAAGGAAGTTCAGGAAAGCTTCGCTTCGACTGAGATGTGCCAGTTGATGAAGCCTACGACTCGCAAGTTGTTAGATCAGCTTTCTCTATTGAGATTGCGTTTTGGCGGATCAAGACCTGTAGACTCAAGTAGTTGATAGTCACAATGACGATGCTTGTGTTCTTCATGTTGCACAAAAACTTGTGTTCAATCTCTCATAGAGCCTTCTACTAATAACAATAAGCTACTAGGTTGGAGGCCATCGCTAGTAGGTTGGAGGCCGTTACTAGTAGAGAAACTAGGATCAAATCTCTAGAGCCTAACTCTGACGGTGGGTCCACCGGACTCGTCCAGTCTTACAAAGTGCCAGCTCTGTAGTAGCGAACACCGAGAGCTTTCCGGAAAATGCGGAGCGTAGCGAACATTGCTCCGTTCGTAGCGATGCCAGGAGCTCCTAGTAGCGTCCTTGTTCCTACTAGTAAGGCACTTGTTAGTAGTAACGATGCACTTGTTACTAGTAGCTACTTGCTCCGTTCGTAGCGATGCCAGTAGCCCCGTTCGTAGCGTCCGGAGAGTTCCGAGTGGCAAAATGTGTCCATCCAGTTCCGAGTTCCGGTCTCGGACGGTCTCCGCGGACGTGACATCCGCTGAGCGAAGCGGTCTTTTCAGTAAGTCTGTATGAAGTCCCTCGAGTCTCAACAAGAATCTTTGCGATTCTTTAGACAGGAGCAGGGAACAGAAACCAAAAGTACGGGACCTAGGTAGCCAAAAGTGGAAATGGACGGGAAGCATCAAGGAAGTTCTGAACAACCAGTGTTTGCCGGTTCCAAAGACGAACCCAACGTGGGTTTCATGTCGCAGTTGAGTTTGGACAGATCGAGTTTTGACATTGGATTGACCAGATCTGCCCCGGAATGCATGCAGAAAGTCATCCCAAGTCACCTAAAAGCCTTTCCAAAGTCAGATGCCTTCAGCATCCTGCCTTTGATAGGAAGATCTTTCAGGAACCCAGTCGTGTTCTTTTCTTTGTAAGGTGTGATACTATCCCAGCAATTTTGCCACTTCAGAGAGAGTTGTTAGGGTCGATTTTGTTCAACATGTTGTGGAGTCACTGCATGATTCTAACCAGCTTGGTAGTGGGAATCGTCATTTTGACCTCTTAGCTTCAGCGTTGCTTCCTTCCTGTTGGATATCCATGGCCAAACAGTGCACTCGCGGTTTCACGATGGAATCCCAGTAACAAATGGCCTCCAACCCAAAAGCGATGGAAACGAAGAGTAGTTCCCGGAAAGACCATTGGTTTGCTTCTGGAAAGATGCACCTCCGTCCCAGCATGCTGTGTTTTGATACAAAGCACATCAACGACAGAGGTTCTGCCAAAGCTTAAAGTCTTTCTTTTTGGAGTTGCTAAGTTTTGTCAAGTCCTCCCAAAGGCTTACATGTTGCTACGCATGAAACTCCTTGAGCCCGTATGGACTTGAGGGCTTCAAGGCTCCTGAGCCATTTGTTTTAGGAAAGCGCCTCAGTAGAGGACACCAGCGATGTGACCACGCTGCTCGGACACGTCAGCTGGGCTACCAGGTCCAAAATTAGCAGCGTGGTCGGATGCAATGGACTCGGCAAGGACCAGGAATAGGCTTGGAAGCCACTCTCGGGTGCTTGCAGGCGAAGCCAAAGACCACTTGCGAGGTGGGAAGCTTCCAAATCACGCTTGCTCTAGGTCGGTCCTCAAGGTGAGTTTCTTATGCACGCTGGTGAGCCAGAGACAGACTCAAGAACACCCGCGCCCCACTGCCAAAGGCACACCCGAACAGAACCATGTGCAGCTGCCCCGTCACAAGCAGTGTGGGTAAGCGTTTGCCAGCTTGGCGTCACCTGGGCATGTAAATCTACGTGGCACTTGCAGGATTCGGCTTACAAGTTCGCTCGTGCTGCTCAACCGAGTCTAACAACTTAGTCCGCATGAAACAATGCAGCACACGACTGACAGGAAGGGCTTGGTTTGCCACTTTTCTGACGGCCTGCGCTTGCTCAAACTTCTGCAGCTTTCAGTTTTGGTCATGACATGTAGCAATGGCTGAGCAGGGTTGCTCAGGAGTTGACATTGCCAGCATCCAGCACATTTGCAATTCTTGCACCTTCTTTTGCGTGAAGAGCCACTGAGGGGGAGTTTCCGTTTCCTGACGTTGATCAAGCCGATCTTATGGCTGGTGCCCGAGGCACCAATGCGCACCCAAATTCAGTCGCGACAACTTCCCAAAGCTCTCAAAGCTGCACACTGACAAGTTCTCAGTTTGGAGGCCATCGCTAGTAGGTTGGAGGCCATCGCTAAGAGAAACAAGCAAAAAGAAAAGGATGAATGGTCCAATACTTTTTGGTTGATCACTTCATTAGCCGGGTCAACCTACTCACCTATGGTCAAGGGTGTTAGGCGAATAGTCGAAAGAGGAGAGACGACACCAACAGAGTATGTGAGGCCACCGACCCAATGCCCACCGTGTAGAAATTGAGTCAATTAAACTTCTTGAACCACAAAGTTGTGACAGTTTTTCAAATGATGCACCACAGGTGAACGCGCCAGAGCACCGGGTGCCTTTCAAAGAGAAGGTCTGTTGGACCGCGATATCTCTTTTTGTCTTCTTGGTCGCTGGGCCGCAATGGTGAATCCATGAGCACCCTCTTGCGGAATTGGAAGACAACACGAGAAACATATCGCAACGTTGCAACATGTGACCCAAGCATGGATTGAAGAATGAACCTTTGCCTTTACTTTCTTGTCCTCCCACAGTGCTCAGAAATCCTGTGCCATCGGGTGTTCGGCGGTGCATGGAGGCACAATTTTACCTTCAAAATCCTATTTAGTTTAGTTTAATGTCCAACCGAATAGCGATGGCCTCCAACCTGGAAAGTCCAAAATGTTCCAAATAAGAACTGAAGTGTTCCCTTTCCTCACAGAGACATGGATGTGAATTGTTCCCTGTGTTGATGTTGTTCAAGTAGCAACGTTTCACGGAGGGTCATTCACAAAAGGACACTAATGTGGCACTAAATCGAACCATGGGTATGTAACTGTATGTACATAGGAATCAAGAGAATAAAGAACGATATTGACATGAATAAGAAGTATGCCAAACAGAAGCGCTGCGAACCCTAAGTCACAGAAAGGGTACTTGGCGTTCGTCACGGGGCCTGAGGTTTGCTGCCAAATTCCCGTCTATGGCATCGTTACCTCAAAGAGTCTGGGCCCTGTGTCAGCTGAAACGTGGAATTGGGCCCAATGTCGATGCCGTTTGCTCCGAGCCCCGTTCGTAGCGTCCGATCGCTCCTAAGAATGCATTGTTCATTTGCCTTATAGTTATTGTTGTTTTCTTATTTCTTTCCTTAGACTCTTAGTTTGTCTTGGACCTTTCTTCCTTTCTTGCTTCATCCCACTTTGTAAAACAGTGAGTTTGTAGCATCGTTTAGCAATGTTTGTAGCCCAGTAGCATGAGGCAATGTGGAATCGGAATTCTACTTCAAGTCTGTTGCATGTGTCCTGTGTGGCTTGTCAGTTTTTGCCAAGGGATACCTGACATTCCTGTTCAAAGTACTCTTTTCGGCAAGAATATCCATGAAATCGGGTGTTCTACCATGAGTTGCTGGCTTTTGAGTATCAGAAAACATGTTTCAGCCAAAACATTGCATGAGTTGCTGTATCAAGGGAACTATTTTGCATTGAGGACTTTTCCCATTTCTACTACTCCTTATTCTCGTTACAACACCACAAAGTCTGTGCGTGAACAGGTGTCCACAAAACTGTTTGGCAAACTGGAAGAGGATTGTTTTTATGGACCAGAAAAGGTGCTTGTCATGTTTTAAATCACTGGAACTGCAAAAAGCGCCAGGCTCCTCATGAGGCCTGTTTCGTGTAGGTAAGGCCAAGGAGCCGAGTAGAGCAGTCTTCTTGCACCAAAGCATTCTGTCTGTTGAAATTCTCAAAAACATGAGCCAAAGCCTTCAAGGCCTTCAATGGGGCCTCCACCTTTCAACCAACGGTCCAGGTGCCGATCCGTTCTACTGGATGCGGGTGATCTTGGCCTCGAACCGGGGCACCTTAATGGAGTCCGGGAACTGAGGACCGTTGGGAGCGAGAGCCCCAAAAGAAGGGCGAACTGGAAGCTTGCACAGGTGACCATCGTTTTTGGTACTTTTGGGGTTTCTTCTTTTTTTCGGCGGTGGCCTACCCCCCCTACTACTTAATTGAGTATGGAGTTAAGTAAAGAGTAGGTAGACACGCTTCTAGGATGCCGGGCCTAGATCTTTAGAAAAAGATGGTGCACCAAAAGAAGGACGGACGAAGAGTAGCTTTGGGCGTGAGGACTTGAGACCTGGAGAGAGTCGAAAAAACGATATGATGGAGGTCGCTAGTAACTAGTAGGTTGGAGGCCGCTCAAACCATGATTCTCAAGAGAGTTGACACCAAAATCCGCAAAATCCCCTCTCTGGATTCCTTGCGACTCCTGCGTCTGAGGCTGGGCATCTCTCCCATTGTCACCTCTGGAGCGGATTTCGCTGGGGTCGTCGGCTCCGTTCGATCTTCCGTTTGGGTGTGCGTCCAAGAGAGACTAAAACCCAAACAAAAGTTATCCAACTGGAAATAGAACCGAGTTCCTGCTCATCAATCAGACATTCTGGCAGAAGAGGTACCACCTTTTGGCCAGATGATGAAGTACCACAGTATGTTGGGGTCGAATTGTTGTGATGTTTGCTGTGTATCCGAAAATGGGAGGGCGTTTTGCCGAAGAGAAGCGATCGATCGATCCGTGGCAGGATGGGTGATGCAGCTCCTGGCCGGCTCACGAATCATTGAGGTGGATCAGCGCCTTCTGGCATGTGTTGACACATGAATCACCACAAAAGACACCAGCTCAAGAAGGCCCTTCTTTGCTCCACCACAAGGCTCTTGGGTCTTGGGGTTGATTGGCCCCGTACCTGACGTGCAAATCTAAAGGCCAAAGAGAGGAGCACCGTTTCTTCAAAAGAGTTTTTTGTGTGATGCACATGAAGCTCCGTGAACTTGTGAGTGTTCCAAGTTGATAATGCTGGTTTGGATATCGGTTTGAAGCAATTCAGTGCCTTGCATATGGTGCCACTGGGCAATGATTGGCTTCTGACAATCATTCAGCGGCACTTACTTCGTTGAACCTTTTGGCCAGGAGTCTCAAAGAGGACCGAAACCTCTTCTTTGCCGCGCAGAAGCTCTTTGGTCTCCTCATCACGCTGGGTGAGGCGCACATGTTGGATGGAGAGGAGTAGTGAATGAAGGCTGCTAGGGGCCCTACAAGGCCCTACAGGGGTCACAGAGAAAGCGAAAGGGGCACAAAAGCACATCTGTTTGGAACGGAGAAAGTTTGTTCATACGTAACGTGTGATGGTATTCCTCACAAGCACCTCCCGAATGTAGACTGGAAGGACAGGAGATTTGGACAAGCCGCACGGCTGAGGCCATGTTAGAAGAATGCCCTCTCCTAAGGAGTAAAAGGGCAGTCACGTCCATATGGCCAACGTAGTGAGGAAGGGGTGGCAGTTTCTTGCTGACATTTGTAGGCCTTTGCCTATGTGGTGAGTGGCATGTATGGAGATCCGTCTTGGCCCAAGAAGCTACAACTGACCACATCAGACTCATCGTCACAGAGCATCGTGAGCGTTTCTAGTGAGTTGCAGAAGCATTTTTGCTTGTAGTAAGAAGTAGTCGCCAGAAAACAATGCAATGTGCGCAAGGAGGGATGTTGTTTTCATTGTATGTGGTTCACATTATGTCACAATACACCCACATGGCATTTGGTATGAAAGTGCAATGTTTGTCTCTCCTTTCCTGCAATCTTCAATTGAGGGAGGACGCTTTGCCTTACAACAGCATCAGATTTATGTACAAGACACCTTTCGAGCAATGCCTGTCACTGACCAAATAGGCAACGTTACGACAGGCTGCCACACGATGCCATTGATTGTTCATAGGGAACATTCCACTTCTACAAGTAGATCTCGGACTCAACATGAAAGGGCTTTCTCGAAACAAGAATGCTAGGTTGGAGGCCATCGCTATTAGGAGCAAGGACGCTACTAGGGGCTCCTGGCCTTACTAGGAACAAGAAGCTACTAGGGGCTCCTGGCATCGCTACTAGGAGCACGGACGCTAGTAGGTTGGAGGTCATCGCTATGAGCGTCTCGCCTCTTCCGCCTCTTCCTCTTCTCTCAAAAGATGGGTCATCGGGGGCCGAGGCGTGCCTTAGGCATGGGCATGAGCTCGCTGATCATTGCGTCAGTTCCCAAGTGGGAGAGACTGCAGCCTGTCGCATGTCGAGGGTCGTTTCTTGACTCGTTTTGGATTAGGTTGTCTCATTGTGCTTCTCATTAGAGGTATCCTTTCTCGGATTTTTGGATTTGTTGGACCTTTGTGCCTGGTGGCTTAAACAAAGGCTACAGACGCCAAGCGACGCATGAGCTACGTTTGGGCTTGGCTGAGGCAGCTGTTCTTTGCCGGAGTCATTGCAATCCTGCTGGGAAGCTCGGGGTACAAGCATTCAACACGGTAGAACTCTGGTGGTTTTGAGAAAGGGTTCTTTTTTCAAGGAGTGTTGTTTCTACTAAGAGGTATGAAAGTCTAAACCGAAGAGGTCGAAAGGTTCAACACGAAAGTGTCCTAGCTTGTTCCAGGAATCTGAGACTTAAGGACCTCACAGTAGCATTTCTTGTTCACGGAGGCGTTTGGTTTGAGACGGTTTCAGCAGACCGCAAGCCTTTTAGATCAATTTTGTATTTGGAGGTTCGCAAACTCAAGATTGATTGCAACTACATCACTACATCTGTCAAATCTCAGGGCTCGCGCCTGTTCATGTTCGGTATCAACATTCTGCCAGAGAAGCCACACAGGGATCTCCTAGTCAAAGTGCTTTGCATTCTAAACTGCACATGTGCCATTTTCGCTTGGAATTGCATTTCAACGGGAAGGCTGTTGAGCTTGTTTCCGGCCAACACATTTTTTGAGGGAAGCAGTAGTATGTACAAGGAACCTGTGAAGGTCAACGGTAGTACGTACTCATTCAAGGAAGGAAGGAAGGAAGGAAGCTCGGTCTAAAGGTGTAAAGAAAGAAATGAACAGTTGAGCAAGCAAGATCAGGCAAGTTAGATATAGTTTCCTCGTTTTTGGATTCCAAAGGGGGTGTGCCACATTCCAGAAAAGCATTGCCACAAGAAGCTTCGATCAGCTCCTGCCTTCCATGTGAATACTGTGAATACGTTGTTGTAAGCCACACGTTGTTGACCTATGTGAAGCAGGTCTTGCAAGTCTTGCGATGGCTCAAAGTCGAACCTTTGCGTCGGACCAAGGCTAGATGAGCTCTTGCAAAAGGTGCCGCCCCACGGCCCGGTGTGTGCACTAAGAGAGGTATTGTCGTGTTCCACTCTGGCACAACCAGACGTGACCGACATTCGTGAGCCTAGGACTTACAAGTGTTAGTCTTAAATGAACAGGTTTCAGACTGCATAGGACAAGACCTGCATCTTCTGGAAATCCTCAAGAGGCCCCTCCCGCTGTGCGAAATATCCCTGGTCCTCTAGGGACATCCTGTGGCGCTGATTCTAGACTGACACCCCTTGACACCACTAGAGAAAGCAAGCATTTCTTGCTAAACCAAACAAATATGGACCGTTCGAGCGATCAGCGGGTATGCAGCTGATGGAGTCTTCCCCCGTTTGATCTTAGAACCTTCTTCAACCTGTGACACGAGTTTGGTTTGTGGCCGATGCCTTCTTTTACAGCTTTCTTTTTGGAGTGCTTTGCATGACAAGACGTGTCATCGTTGGTTCTGGGTGAGGGCAGGATCGAAGGTGTCCGTCACATCCAGGGCTATGGCCTCGGCTCCGGCATCTCACTGTTCATTGCTACCAACATTTGCGAAACCATCGTGTGGAAGGCCGGGACAACATTCGCATCAGCCGAATCCCAAGCAGTGCGACCGCGAGCAGGGCTGGAAATAGCAACCCGCACCGATACACGAATCCATCAGGCTGTCCCCAGATACACCGCACCGATCTCATGGAGTAAAGACTGGTCATGCGAGTTTCGATTTCACACTGCGCCTGTCAGAAAGACACAAAGCGAGACCTACCGAAAATGCAATATAGTATCTCTTCCAAATAGGTCACAAAAGACTCAATACCACAACCTCTGAACCAAAGTGTCAAAGACAACACGAGCAGTTTCCCCAAGGATGGGTAGTTTAACAAGTACATAATCTAGCTGAGAAACCCAAGACGAAATGATTTGGCAAAAGGTCATGCACCTACCAACCACATGCGGCACTAATTGTTATGCGACACACAATCAAAACATGGCAGTGACACGGCCCCAAAACAACCAGAGTAAGACTGAGGCGTCGCCAATACCTAACCTAGACACAACCAAAGACAAGACGAAAAACCTGACCCAAACAGCAAACCGAGATGACACAGCATAACCGAGACGAATCGCAACGAAAAGAAGTCGCCTAACCGAGATGATCGGGACGACACTACTGTAGACCTCTCTTTATTCAGTAGGCGCCTACTGAATTGAAAAGGGAGTCAACACGCTCCTAGGAGAAGTTCGCAGGATAGCTCACCCTTCAAGGAGCGCTCGCACGAATGATTTTGTTCCTAACTTGTTTGAGAAACTTGATTAATAGCGATGCCCTTGGTACTAGTAGCTTCTTGTTACTAGTAGTAAGGCAAGGAGCTACTAGTAGCTTCCAGCTACTAGTAGTAATGCCCTTGTTTTCTCGGTTTGTAGGGAAGCTTAAGAGCTTTTTGTTCCTAGTAGCGATGCCAAGGAGCTACTAGTAGCGTCCTTGCTCCTAGTAGTTTGTTCCTAGTAGCTTCTTCTTACCGCAGGTGAAACGATTCCCAAGGAAGCTTCTAGCTACTAGTAGCTTAAGAGCACCACATTGCCATGCCCTTAGACCTTCTTTTCCTTTCCTGCTTAATCGTTTCCAGCCAAATCAAGACGTTCTTTCTTGCTGTTCCTTATCAAGCTCTTTGCAAGGCCTTAAGCTTCGGACTTAACTAACACATGCTACAACAAAGAACGTGCAGACATGCACGGCTTGCAACCTGAGAAGACATTTTGTACACAAGAAAAGGCTCTGCATGTGTGACATCAGAATCCCAAAGAATCCCAGTCCCTTCAGAATAGACTAGGTAGCTAGTAGAAGCTAGGTAGCTACTAGCTACTTAAGCTACTACCCAGGACGCAGGATAGCTCACCCACTATTCATGTGGTTCCTAGACTTTTAGGGAAATCAATAGCGATGGCCTCCAACCTACTAGCGTTACTAGCGATGGCCTCCAACCTACTAGCTTCTAGCTACTAGTAGCTTCTGGTTCCTAGTAAAGGCTTAACATATAAAGCCCGTGGAGCTCGATACACCACACATGTTCGTCCAAAACCGTGGAGGCCTTTAGCCCCACCACGATCAACACCGGGAAGGGTACAGAATTTGAGGGTGCCATCGTGGCCCTGTTTGCTCCTGAGCGTCGTGCCGCAAATGTTGTCGAAAAATGCGTACGGTTTTTGGTTTCAACTGACAGTGTTTATGTCAAAACATTGCCAATTTTTCTATGTCAAACATTCCTTCCAGCAGTTCTTGTATGCAATGGCCCATAGCCCCATAGCCTATTTGGAGAGATCGTCGGAAAAATAGAGAATGCGCGGTGTGTACAGAGTTGCAAGGGAGCGTGTTGAGAACTTGTGGAGCACTTCTCGCAGAATTCAGGTTCCACATCATGATCTCCCGGCCAGACAAAAAGATGGCGCTGTCAGAAGCCTTTTTCAGACAAACTGTCACATCCTGAGGTGCTGACAATGCACGAGTTGATCAGGTTTTTTCATGAATTTCACCCAACCCTGTTGGGTCCCTGAGCAAAGACGTGCACAGAGCGAAGCGTTTACAGAGTAAGACAAATGACCTTGAAGCCGCCAGAAGCTACGCCACGACCAGCATCGATTCCAAGCAAACGAAACGAAAGAAACGTGGCACGGTGTCGGCGAATGTCGTTAATCCAGTATCAAAACGAAAGCCCTTAAGGCCTTCATACTGCCCTTTGTTACGGTAGCATCCTTGCTCCGTTCGCAGCGATGCCCTTTGTTCCTGGTAGCACGGCTCCTTGCTCCTAGTAGCGATGCCAGGAGCCCCTAGTAGCGTCCTTGCTCCTACCCCCCCGCGCGCGTGGGAAAAGGTCCTAGTAGAGTCCTTTGCCACTAATTTTTATTCTAATTAGACTTAATTCTATTCTAATTCTTGTTACTAGTAGTAAGGCCCTTGCTCCTAATAGTAAGGCCAGGAGCCCCTAGTAGCGTGCTCTTGCTACTAGCATGAAACCAATGGCCTTGAGGCCTTGAGACTGGAAGCCCGGTACGTATGGACGTGGAAACTCTGTCTTGACGTCCGTTGCCTTTTTCGGCCCCCGAGGCGCCCAACCTCACGAACCTCATCGCAACGCTTCTGGTCTTCTTCATTGTCATCTACTTCCAAGGTTTTCAGGCACAAAACTGGCCTAGATGGGGGAATTCATTGCAGAATTACTAATAGCAATGGGTTTTCAACCTAATTTGGTGTTTTCTCTCAGTAAAGTTGTTCTGATATGTTTCCACAAGACGGATCTTTGTTCCTTCTTCGTTGTTTATGGCCTTTTTGGGCAGAGCTGTGACAAAGGGTGCCTCCTCATGGACGGTTGGATGGCTTCCCAGCATCTTCCCCATCTTTGGCACACCCTTTGGAGTCACACGTTCGCCCAGTGGCAATGCAGCATTTCCACAGCTATTGTGTATTATGCACGAAGGAAGTAGTTTTGGATGTCCGGTGAAGCCTTCATCTAGGAAGAAAAGCATCCTTTAGCAACTGAAGTGGTCCGTTTCATCTGTCGCATTTGGGCCAGGTGGATCTTTCTTGCAAATTCCACAAGATCCGCGGTCATCGCGGCATCTACCCAGTCAAGACCTCAGGCAATCGCTGCGCTTATCGCTTGGAGCATGGCTTACCTGAAAGGTCCGACTCTTCTACACCTCCAACATCTCCATCATTCTTCAAACTGTCGAAAGCTTGGTGCAACTGTGGAGAGGGCCTCTCATAGCCTAGTTGCGCTGGTTGCCATGAAGCAAAGGAATCAACACATGTTGATGAAATCGAGCCGACATGGTGACTTAATGATTTCTAGCCTACTATTTTATTGCACGAGTTGAAGATCTCTTTGGCACCAAACATGGCTTGAAGGCACTAGTTTCCAACCTCTACTTCTTCTCTCAGCTTCTTTACCGACGGCCGCTTGCACGCAAAGAACTAGATCCACGGCTCATTGACGGCCGTGAGGTTTTGTAGGGTTTTTGGTACATTGCAGACGTCGTAAACCTTTAGCCTGACTGGGTGTTTGACAGACTTGGGAAGTGTTTGTATTGGGACCGCAACCTTGCTGGGGAGGACTCAAACTGAGCATTTCGCTACAATGATACGCACATGTCACATGTTGTTAGTCTCTTGAACAATTTCCAAACTACTTAGTTTTTGAGAGACTTGATGTTTTTCTTTTTTTAATGCACCTTCACACTGACTGGGGGCAGATGTTGTAAGTGTCAAAGGAAGCGTTTGTCCATAGGGAAATTTATGCACATCTTTTACTTCAACAGCGTCAACAAGATGTTCAAGAACTCGTGCGGAGAGTCTCTGAGGTGTTCTTGGCAGTATGCATACATGTACACGTACTCACGGACTCTCTCATTCAGCATGCTATGCCCATTTTCTTTTGTACTTTGCAACCAAGTGATGGGGCTGTAGTTGGGTAAAAGTTCGTTCCGGACAAAATGCAGTTGCATAGCATGTGCAACGTTTGTCATTATCCCGACCCCACCCCCCACCCCACCCCATATCACAAAGCAAGTCAGTTCTGTCGCATGTGCGTAGCTTTCCAGGAAAGCTCGAAAATACTGCATATAACGTCGAAAAAAGTATAAACACACACACGCACACACACGAAACGCCACGGCCGTCCACAAGCCGAGGTCCAACTACTCAGATGGTCACTGTTAGTTGTTTCCCTTTTTGCTCTCTTTGCTGCTTTTCCACTGCTTTTCTATGTGTGTTTCCAAAGTGAACAAGGTCAACAGTAGTAAGGGGAATTTACAGAAGAAATGAAGAAAGGTCTGAAGAAAAGTGAAGAAAGAAGGTAAATGAAGAAAAGGACAGTATTCTACAATAGAGTAAAGACGAAGAAGTAGGGAATTGGTTGCGAAGGCCCAAGACCTCGCGCCTTTCATGCAGCATTCTTGCTGCAGTTCTTCTAGGGTGGAAGCCACTGCTTCTAGGGTGGAGGCCATTGCTACTAGGGTGGAGGCCATTGCTACTAGGGTGGAGGCC